AGGATTTAAAGGGGCAAATTTGGTAATATAAAATATAAAACATGGATCGAAGGCCCTGATCATGATTTAAATAATAAAGAATACATGGTACTTCAAGAGAAAGCTTGAAAGGGCTGAGATGCTGGATATCAAATCTACCAAAATCTTTATTTTTAATAATAGTTGTGTCGCACTCAATTAGGTGGACTCCTTTGTTTGAAGTATGATCATGCCAAAAAAAATTTAAATTAATACTTTAATTTTATAAAGATTTAGATACGCATCCAAGTAACGTGAAAGATTTATAATGGAAAGAGATTGAGAAAATATTTAATCAAGACCTCATGATCAGATTGGGACAAGTAATTTTTCTATCATTGGGCTAATTTTCAGTAGATATTATCAAGAAGACTATCATGAGTATGAGTAGAGGAAGACAAGCGTTGAGTGTAAGAGTGATTGTATTTATACTTGAGGAGAAAGTATATATTATTTTTAATATGCAGAGGGGTTTGATTTGAAAAACTAAAATTTTGATTTAGCAGAGTTGATGAGTTACTTGGTAAGATGTTCATAAGTTGAAAAGATAGGTTTTATGGTCAGTTAAATCTTCTTCTTGACTCGAAGGTACAGTAAACTATGTCACCGACAGTAAACAGATAACAATTTAAACGAAAATGAAAAAGGAGTAAGTTGTTTTTTTTTTAGCTGTGACTTAATTAAGGGGTGATAGGAAATGTATTAACGGTTAATCATTATTCTATGTGTAAGCATCACTCGAAAGTTATCAGAAGAAAAAAAATTTAAGTCACTCATTGTCCGGGTATTTCCCTTTTTATCGTCCATGTAGATAAAATGTCCTATGCTACGCCAGAATGTTCTTTTCCCAAAAGAAAATCCTTAGACCTAGACCACTAACTTGAGCGTCATAGGGATTGGGTCAAAAAAATTCTCTTAATGTTAGTTTTAGTGCAGATAAGGCCACGGAAAATCGGTACCTCCATCTCGTAGCTATCTCGGACACTCATGAGCCTCACCTAGTAAGTGTAGATGCTAACGAGCATGATGTAGGCTATCACCTCGCTCTTATCTCAATTAGCCCAACAAGCAATGCCACCATCTCAACCACGGTTGATAAATCAACCGCCACTAGCACCAGCACCTGTTAGGACCCCCCCCCCCAACTAATATAATGTTAGCATCTCAAGATCACCCAACACCCACGGAACCATCGAGAGGGTGCCCCACTCTCCAACAATGGAATTCAGCACACCACCACTCTACTTACATGAATCCGAGACCTAATTAGTGGATTTGATGGATGACTACCTGAGGGTCTAGCTATGATAAATGGACTGATGCTTAGATGAGATGCGACGAGAGTTCCAACAGTCCAGAGGATAGAGTTCGGTCGATTCTACCTTGGGTCGGTTCTCATTCACTCAGAATATCCAAGAGGAACCAATCCCGATGAACTTTCACCTCCCATCCCTATAGGCCTTTGACGGTAGTACCAACCCAGTATACTACCACCTTCCACACTCAAATGTCATTGTAGGGCACCTCGGATGCTCTAGTTTGTCGTGCCTTCCCAATAACACTGAGAGGCTTAGCATAAGAATGATACACTCGCTTGAAGCCGCTCTCAGTTGGCTTCTTTGTTCAACTCGTAAAAGAGTTTGAACTCTACTTCCTTAGGAATGTATGCCTAAGGCCATCAGCGATGATACTGCTCAGACTTGCAAAAGAGTTTGAGCTCTATTGTTATGATTTAAAGGAGCAAATCAAAAAGCTTATTCGTTAGGGACATCTTGGGAGGTTCATCTAAATGCCTTAGGAACCTTTGCCCCAACCTTAAGGACCGGTGGAGAGGCAGATCAACGTCATCATCAGGGGACCTACCTCGAGAGGAAACAACTCCTTGGGTCGCAAAACCTACACCCGAGCTACCGTCGAGAAATGCCCGAGGTCCAAAAATGACTTTAAAAAAAAAGAGATGGAGTAACTCGATCCAAACCATGATGATGCCTTAGTGCTCTCAATATGGATGATTAACACTCGAGTAAAGAGGGTCATAATCAACGTAAGTAGCTCTATCGATATCCTCTTGATGCTTTTCAAAAACTTGTGCACTCGGCTAATGATTTCACCCCTATGACTTCTTCGCTAATGGAGTTTATTGGTCATGATTTCACCTCGAGAGTCCATCTCCCCTCTTGAGACTATGAGCCTACATGTCACATTTGGGGACGAGCCCTGCTCCAAAACGATAATGATTAAATTCATGGTGGCCAACATCCCCTTGATGTACAAGGTGATCATAGCCGACCCACACTTAACAAGATGAGGGTAGTGGTGTCGATCTATTACACGGTGATAAAATTCTCAACAAGGATCGGTGTTAGATAGCTGAGAAGTAATCTAACAAAGTCATGCCACTATTGTCTGACGATGGTCTCCCTATCGAAAAAGGCCAAGCTCGAGACACCGCTGATAGACCCCCAAAATTTTTACCAAGTCTCTCCCATATCTGGAGCCGATGGAGTCATTAATTAAGGTACCTTGGGACAAAGCTTGCCATGGTGGGAAGAGAATCCAAAATCTATCACGATAGAGGGAGGATTTGAAGTCCACTATGATGGGAGGAGGATACAAAATCTGTTATGATAGAAGAAAGACCTAAAACCTACCATAGGAGGACTCAAAATCCACCATGACGGAGGAAGGACTCAAAATCTATTATAACGGAGGAAGGACTCGAAGCTTGCCATGGTAAGAGCACTCGAAATCCACCATGGTGGAGGAAGAACTCAAAGCCCACTACAATGAAATGAACACTTAAAATATGCCACTATATAGGAAGGACTCAAAGCTCACCATAGCGAAAGAGGCACTCAAAAGCTGCCATGGTGGAACGAGGACTCAAAATCTATCAAGACATATGAGTTAAGGAAACATGACCTGTGTGAGAAATCCACTATAGCGAAGGACTTAAAGCCTACTATGATGGAAGGAGGACTCAAAGCTCCCCATGGTGAAAGAAGCACTCAAAAGCTACCATGGTGGAATGAGGACTCAAAATCTATTAAGATGCATGAGTCAAAAAAACATAACCTGTGTAAGAAATCTACTATAGCAAAGGCATAAGTCGAATGTGCTTGAGATATATGAGTCAAAAAAACTCGATCCATGTGAGAAGAAATCTATCACGATGGAGACACATGTCAAATATGCTCAAGATGTGTGAATCGGAGAAACTCGACTCGTATAAGAAGAAATCCGCCATGGTGGAGGTATAGGTTGAGTATGCTTGAGATGCGTGAGTCGAGAAAACTTGACTTGCGTGAGAAGAAATATGTCACAATAGAAGCATAGACCGAATGTGCCCGAGATGAGTGACTTGGAAAAACTTGACCCATGTAAGAAAAAATCCACCATGGTAGAGCGACAAAGCAAAATGTGCTTGATGCATGTGAGTCGAAAAAACTAAACCTATATAAAAAAAACTCGTTAAGATGGAAGCCATAAGTCAAAGAAGCCTAAAGTGTATGAGTCGGGAAGCTCGACCTCCACCTCTACCTGAGGCGTGGATGTCGAGAAGCCCGACCCTTGCCTCTGCTCAAGGCGTGGAGGTCAGGACACTCAACCTCCACCTCCGCCATCATGTGAGGTGTGGAGGTCGGGATGTCTGACCCCCGCCTCCGCCCGAGGCATGGAGGTTTGGATGCTCGACCTCTGTCGTCACATGAGGTGTAGAGGTTAGGACACTCGACCCTCGCCTTTGCTCGAGATGTAGAGGTTAAAATGTTTGACCTTTGTCGTCGCACAAGGCATGGAGGTCGGGATGCTAGACCTCTGTCATCGCAAGAGGTGTTAGTAAAAAAAACTCAACCCTCAAAAAGAGATTTCGAATGCTCTCTTGTCGGATGAAGTAAACGTTATACCCTGATCATTTAAGTGTCAAAAAAATCAGATTAAAAAATTTATTTAATATTAATCTTAATACCGGTACGGCGCTGGAAGATCGATAACTCTATCTTAAGGAGCCATCTATAGCAGGTGAGATTTTGTCGATTAGTTTCCCTAACAAGAGGTTTTGATAGATTCACTAGGACGATTTGTTTCACTTAACATGTCATTTCCTACTTTGACATTTCTCCTCCAATATTCGGTAAAGAGGACATGTTCTTGTTGCCATAATCACCCCTGTCACCATCTACAATTATGTCAGCTTGTGGTGTGCCTTTGGAGTTGGGACTGCCCACTCCACCACCACGAGAGCCTTTTCAGCACCTAAGCTTTCCAATAAATTTTGCTGCGAATCTACCAACACCACAATCTACACAAGATCAACTATACTTCGTTTGTGGAGTCCGTCATCAACATTTTTAGTATATTATTTGGATTGGGCAACATAAGGGATTGGAAGATTACCTCTGCATCCACTATGAACATTCTAACACGAATAGCGGAAGAGAGTTCCCTCGAGGACGCATCCGATGGCCTTCGACGTGTTGTGTCATGGTGATATGGTACGCCAAATTAATAATGATATGTCATTCGGTATTTATGGGTTGAATTCACCTTATCAGTCCTTGTGGATCCATCTAAAGCCTTAAAACAAGAAACATTTTCTATATTTACAATAGTGTCTCTCACGTATGAGTTAAGAATTGAGCTATATATATGATATGATATGATATGATATGATATGATATGATATAACCATACAAAAATTATACCCAACAATGAATTATAAGAATATGAAAATTCTTAAAATTTATTATTGTGTAATGTAGAGTTACACCCAACTTAAATTTACAAGATCTTGTTCATCATCAATTAAACAAGGAATAAAAATATTCCAATCATTTTAAGCCTATTAATGACATTTATAGATATCCTTCCAATGTTTTGGATTGGCATATATGTCCCGCTAAATTAAATGTCACATATTATATCTCGACATTTGAGTCAAATCGGACTAATCGTATGTACGTTTTTGGCCTTTTCTTAGACGCTCGCATATAGACCTTCATAGCGCAAGCAACTCCACTGGCTTTCCATTTGCGATGGAGGAAAAGGCGGTCACACCTACACCGCCGTCGACGTCGCCGGCAATCGATCCCAGGAGTGGTTTCGACGCCGTCTCCAGGACTTTCCACAGCCTCCGTCCGCCCGTACCGTTGCCGGCCCGCGATCGGCCGCTCTCCTTCACCTCCTACGCCGTCTCCCTGCTCCCATCCCCGCTCCCTTCCCTCCCAGCCGTCGTCGACGCCGCCACTGGGGATGCGCTCTCCTTCCCCGATCTGCTGTCCCAGATCCACTCCCTCGCAGCCGCCCTCCGCACCGAGGTCGGCCTCTCCAAGGGCCACGTCGCCTTCATCCTCTGCCCCGCCCGCCTCGACGTTCCCCCGCTCTACCTCGCCCTACTTTCCCTGGGCGCCGTCATCTCGGCTGCCAACCCCGCCTCAACTGCCGCCGAGCTAGCCCGGCTCGTCGGCCTCTCCAAGCCCCGCGTCGCCTTCGCCACCTCCGAAACCGCTGCCAAGCTCCCTGGCGACGTTCCGACGATCCTCCTCGACTCCCCTCGGTTCCGGTCGTTCCTCGCCGGCAGCGGAGGGGAAGTGCCGCCGGAAGAGGAGGTCGGGCAAATGGATGTGGCCGTCATACAGTACTCGTCGGGGACGACGGGAATGGTGAAGGCGGCAGCCCTGTCGCACCTCAACTTCATCGCGATGGTGGCAGGGTTCCACGCTTCACGGAAACTGGCGGCAGAAAGGAGGCGGCGAGAGGCGCCGGATGTGACGGTCGTCGGAGCGCCGCTTTTCCACTCTATGGGGTTCTTCTTTTTGCTTAAAGGAATAGCACTGGGGGAGACCACCGTTGTCATGGGCGGCGGCGGCGGCGCGAGGGAGATGCTGCGCGTGGCGGAGAAGTACCGGGCGACTTCTTTGACGGCGTCGCCACCGGTGGTTGTTGCGATGGCAAGGTGGGAGGAGAAGATCGACCTGGCAGCGCTCGAGTTCGTGACCTGCGGCGGAGCGCCGCTGCACGAGGCGGCGGCACACCAGTTCATGTCTCGATTTCCCGATGTGGAGCTCCGTCAGGTAGGGTGATTTATATTAGTACTTCTCTTTTATTTGTTTATATTAGCCTTTATTTGCATGAGACAAAAAAAATTATAAATATAAGTTGAATTTTTATAAGCGAAAAAAGGAAAATAATAGTCTAAAATTGTTACGATAAAAGTGTGGCAAATAATTATACAGCTCTTTTCCTTCCTAAATAAAAAATGGGGTGGATTCAAAGCTCTCTCAGCCTATTGGCTGAGAGAGGCGGGTCACACGTGCGGTTGTCCTCCTACCGCCAATATAATAGCACGACACGACGCGACGCGTGCGTCAAACTTGGTCGTCGTCGGGGTGTTGATTGGAAGTCCAACCCCTGTCGCTGCATTAAATCATGGGGGATAACAGAGCCATTTTTACTAGGTAATGCAATAGTACACTCTTTGAGTCATCAGTTTCCTTAGGTCTTTCCTTGCAATAAATATTCTAGTAATGCTTGTAATAATTTACCATGGCCAGCTATGATTGCTGGCACTGTCAGCTTCCTTGAACCCAAGACACAGTTAGGCAATTGCTTTGCGTGTGGCCAACTGGAACAGATCTCAAGTTTATGGAATGTTGTCTCTTGAATAAACCTGGATAATGAGATCCCTTGACTTTGAAGGAAGGACAAGACTGATGCACACGATGTTCTTATTGTGGCCCTAAAAAACAGCAATATTAGGTGCATTAAAGGCAGCTGTTGCACTAAACTTTTCTTGATATAATAGATGCCGAATGCAGAAATTTTCTTTTTTCATCTGCCAAATTCCAATAGATTCTGATGCTATATTGTGTAAAAAAGCTTACTAATATTTTAAATGAACTGTAAGTTCACCTTCCATCTTGTTTTGAGCCCCTTCTTAATGGTGGTCATTTCATTTTTTTTATAGCAGTCACTGCATAGGATGAGTTCACTTAGTCTCCCTTGGGTATAATAATAAAATGATGGAATAAGAAGTTATTTATCACTCATCCTGAGCCTTACTCATCCAGTCAAAACAAATATAGTAAATGGAGTAACCTATCAGGTTAAAAACACAAAATAATTGACTTTCTTGATTTTTAGGTTTATTTAGTAAACTGAATGAGATTACAGGAAATAGATTGTTTTGGTAGGATAGGAACATGCAATCCACAAGTGTACAGTTTCACCATGTTCTCAAAGTAATGCATGTTATTTTCATGACATTGGTACATGAACCAAAAGGAGTTTTAGAAAGTAGTACTGTATCTTCATTGAATAGACCATTGCTTGACCAAGATGAAACCTTAGAATTTTTCATGTTCAAACAGAATAGAAGTTGCTACAGAAGCCAAACCAAAATTGAAAGAAACATTTTAATTTCAGCTTGGGTATATTTGATAAGAATTTACCATGCCATGTGGATATTTGATTACTTGTTTTATTTATTTATTTAATTTTTGCTTTTGCGATTATATATTTTAAAGATTATTCCCAAGAATAAATGTCTTCAAAAGCATCTAAGATAGATCTACATCACCAGCATGAATATGCTATAATAGATCAACAATAGATTTAAGATCCTATAGTTTGGGACTACCCACATGTTATTCAAAGTATAGAAATTTAGTTTCCTTTATGAAAAAGAGATTATTATTTACTAGGGTTCATCTTATTGATCTGTATCAATATACTGACTGGCCATTGATATGGTACGTATTGACCTGTACTGATGTATCGTTTGTAAGTATGACAATACGTACCGATGACACGAAAAAATGATAAAAATAGCTTCAAAATTCCTAAAAATAGAAAATTAAAGATTTTTAAGTTAGAAATAAATATAATTTTAATATAATTTTAGTAAAAAAAATCTAAATTAGGAATGAACAATGACACATTTTTTTGGGCTTTGAGGAATAGCTTTGTGGTACGTTTCGGACTATCCTTCCGTTGATATTAAATTATCCAAAAAAATTGATTTAAATTATTAGATTATTTTTTAAACAACTTAAACTTTAAGAGTCAAATGAATCAAGCAATCAATCGATGAATATACTTAGTTCTACCACAAAAAATAATGACATTTCATGGATGATGAATCAGGGTCCTCGATCCTATGTATCTGTAAATCAATTTGACATGTTTGTTGGACCTAATCTTGAAATAGATCTTACGACATAATATTAATATATCATATGCTATTAGTGCATCGATATGGTGATGGTTGTAGTCTGATTGTCGTGAACCACACATGTTCAAAGCGGCTCTTAAGGCAAGTATGATTGTAGCATATATTGGTGCGGAGTATGGTGAATGTCAAAACTTTTACTTTCATCACTGATTTGCTGCTTTATATCATAAGATCGATCGTACTACTGTTCGGAGAAGAATAACTAACTATCATCATAGCTATTGGCTGTAAGATTCTCCATAATACGACAATTGTGAATATGATAAGCTTTGCTCTATGTTTATGTCGTGTAAGCTTTGTTGGATCTACTCAAAATCATCTATTATCTTTTGTTTCCCCTTCTATGTATAAACTTGATCAGTACCTTGTCGAGCTTCATGGTTTGAATCTTGGGTGAAATAAAATACTGCTCCTTGATCCATGCACTACTCTTAAACCGTGTAAACGAGACCATCGACTCCCCAACATCGTAGCCATCATTAGTTGAGGCACAATTGTCTCGTCACCCAACTTAATTCTTTCCAATGATGCAGTTGATGCCACTACCTTCCCCTTTGCCTTTGCCTTTGTATGCTCGATGGGCGACTGTGATGGTTGGGTGTCTCTAGTTTCTAGAATAGTTCGACTCGATGTTGGTCGGCCCCTTCTGCCATGTTTTGACCGAGGGAGATCTTCAAGTTGTTAAGGATATACGTTCTTTTCTTTTATTACCTTTGTAATAAAATATATTAATTACAACATAATTAAATACATTAATCATAGTATTAATATATTTAATTAATCCTTAATTAGTCCTCTTTTATCATTATAAACATATCAAATACCCTGATAGGTATTAAGGACATTGAATTGACTCAAAATAAGTCAATTCAATTAAATCATTATTTAAACCACTAATCATAATATTAAAAACTTAATTAAAACATAGTTAAACCTATTATACCATCACATAAATCACCTTAGTATGCAAAATATAAAGATTTGACCCATTAAGTGTCTAATTATAAAAAATCAATATTAATCATAACATTAAAGACCTTAATTACTCCTTAATTAATGTTATTATATCATCAAAATTACATCAAACAATATATTAGACATTAACCACATAAAATAGGCTTAATTATTTCATAAATCAATAAAAATCTAGAAAGAGAATAAATACCTCTTGATTAGAATGTTCTTCCTTTAAATTAAGTGTTAATCCAACTAAATTAGCCTCTTAAATTTGATCTAATCCATAAATCACTATCTTGTTAAGTTTAAAAGAGTCCAAATGTGAGTGAGAAAGAGTTAGAGAGAGTGAAATGAGTTGAAAGAGGGGAAGGAAAGGGTTTCAAAATCATTTCTATTGGATCAAATGGTTGAATTGACCATTTGAAACAAGGTAATCTCAACCCTTGATTGGTATTAGTTAAAATTTGACTATTACCGACTGTTACAAGTCGGTAATTATTGGATTTTGATCTTTCTAACAGATACGGGGTCATGTGATGTGTATCGCTCGGTATGGGGCGATCCACGTACTGGTCCCATGTCAGATTGGTACGTACTATCCGTACCAACATCAAATTTACTATTTATAACCTATTTTAAATTTTTTTAATATTTCGAAGCTGCACCTTTGTATAAATAGACGTAAAAATATCCTCTTCTTCTTCCTCTTTTTTTTCCTCGTCCTCCTCTTCTTTTTCCTCATCTTTTTCTTCCTTCTTGGAGGACGATGTCAAGGGGGTGATGAGCGGGGTTGGATGGCTTTGAGCGACGTTGGCAATGGCGGTGAGCGACAATGACAACGAGGATGAAATAAGTTCTTGTGAAAAAAAAGATAAAATCGGTAATACTAGGGCTGTAAATAGTACAATAATATATTATTATTTTAAGGGATTGTCAATAGTAAAAGAAACTGAATAGTAAGCTTCTATTAAAATTGAAATTTAGCTTCCTTCTTGTATAATCAATTGCAATGATTTCAATTTTGGCTGTGAATCCTGAGCCAATACTTCTTGGCCCTGGGTGGACTTTAGCTTCATCTAAAGAAACAGGTGTTGCAATTTTTTGTCATCTTAAATACAGCCCTTGATGCCCCAGTATGTTAGAAGAAAATATTTGGTCAGTTTATGCATATTTTGATGGATACATTTAAAAATCATGCAACTTTTTCTATGAGATAATAATGATGATTGAGTAAAACATTTTCTACTGATCCTTCATTTTGCTCTTTGGCTTTGAAAAATCAACTGATAAGATTACATCCATTCTTCATGTCAGGGTTACGGATCCACTGAGGGTGGTGGTATAGCAAGGATGATAGATCGTGAGGAATGCCTCCACCTGAGGTCTGTCGGTCGCCTGTCACAGAATGTTGAAGCAAAGATTGTGGATAGTGTCACAGGTGAGACCCTGTCAATTGGCCAAACTGGAGAGTTATGGATTCGTGGCCCTTCAATCATGATAGGTAATGTAGCATAATGCATTCTTACTTGTCTGAACTCAAGTGACATGAGCACTCAACCAAAAGAAAGATATTTGGTTGCTCATTGTTTTCTCTTATGTCAGGTTACGCAGGAGATGAGAAAGCAAATGCTTCCACCTTTGCTCCTGGTGGCTGGCTAAAGACAGGTGATCTCTGTTACTTCAATCAAGATGGGTTTCTTTTTATTGTGGATAGGTTGAAGGAAATGATCAAGTATAAAGCTTACCAGGTCAGTGCAGAATTCTCATCACTGAAGAAAATATGCCAAATCGTCTCATCTGTTGCAATGTGGATGTTTTGCAGGTTCCACCTGCTGAGTTGGAGCACTTGCTTCTATCACTACCTGGAGTTGCTGATGCTGCTGTGGTTCCGTACGTATCCAGTGATGCAACTTCAATGCACTTTATTTATACGCTGTTCATGCATCATTATCATCAGTCGTCATGAATTTTTGGGCTAAATACTCCATCAATCAATAATCACAACTAGCTTCATTAATCTGCACTCAGACTATTTCTGCATTGAAACATCAATGCAGTATTAGCACGTTCAGTATTAACCTATTAAATCATTTGATATTTTCTGCAATCAAGAAGGAAGTACCTTGAACTGTCTGTAAATATTGACAGCTTAGTTGTTCTTAAACCAAGAAAATAAAAACATCACTTGTTCATTAAGGATCCTCTTTGTTGATTAGTTTGAGTTTAGATTCTACCCTCTTCTTCCTTAATGATTGTTTGCAAAATAACAGTTATCCTCACGAGGAGGCAGGCCAAATACCTATGGCATTTATTGTGAGACAGCCAGGAAATAACCTCAAAGAATCAGAAATCATGGATTTCATTGCAAAGCAGGTACCTTTGTTTATGATTCTGCTTCAGTGTTTTTGTATTTTAAGAATTGAAGCACAGAACGTGATTTTTATTTTGTATTATAGGTAGCACCATACAAGAAGATTCGCAAAGTTGTTTTCACCAGCTCTATACCGAAAACAGCATCAGGAAAGATCTTGAGGAGGCAATTGCGCAACCATTCAATTTACAGTTCCATGTCCAGACTATAATGTGCGTGGAGTTATCTGCACCATATCATGATCATGAGTTTTCAACCAAAGTCCCATTTTAGCATCTTTGTCAAACTCTTTTAGATGATATGTTTCACCTACAAAAATCTGAAATGACCTCAGGATATCATCAGTCTACAGTATTTTCTGATTACTGTTCTTTGCATCTTGAGCTTTCAGGATGCTGTAAGTTATTGTCTTTTTGCATCTTAGCTCTATTGTTGATTTCATTTGTTGCCCAATGGCTGTTTGGCTCTGAATTATTGTTCTTTGCATCAATTAATGTCATGGGCTTAAGCCTGTGACCCATTATGTGTCAACCAAGTCAACAATAGTGGCATCTTAATGTAATTTCATATTGAAAGTGGGTGAAAATGATTCGAACCCATCAAGTTAACGGAAGAATAATTACATTGGGACGATTGATATGTATTGGGTTGGGGCCAACCATATGTGATTTGGGTAGACCCGATTAAGTTCGGGTCGGATCTTCTCCTAGTTGTGTTGCCTTTTCTTTCTGTTCGCGTCGTCGTCTTCGTAATAAGCCTTTCTTTGCCTCTTTAGCTTCTCCCTCCTCCTCTCGATCTAGGGTTTCTTATCACTTCTTCTCGCTTGTTGATTCGTCTTCCGCCATCGTCGTGTTCGTGAATCATGAAGCTCGACGCGAGTGGTCTCCAATACTCCCCTTCGGTCACCGGAGGCGGCGTCGACGGTCTCGGCGAGGACCTCTTCGCAGCCCCTTCGTTCCAACTCCCGGATTCCTTTGATGTCTGTTTCTGATGGGTTTGTTGGTTATTTGGTATGATGACGGGATTGTTGTGATACTCGATGTATTGATTTGTTGCCACATTTTGTTGTGATACTCGATCCAGATGGTGAAGCCTGCGAAGGGGACGACCACGCTGGCTTTCATCTTAAAGAATGGCGTCATTGTGGCCGCCGATTCTCGAGCTGGCATGGGAGGATATATCCGTAAGCATTTAATACTCCATGTCATTGGGAGATTATGCTAGAGCTGTTTGCATCTTGTGTGTGCTTCTGGTTGCTTGATGATTAACTATTAAGCAAACAAGAAACTCGTGATATTTGACACAGTGGAGATTAACTTAGCGTGGAGATCTTCATTATCTGATAGTTCACCTAGTATTGTATTAAGGATCAACTTGTGATGTATGTCCACAATTGCGTTTGATAAAAACTTCGAAACTAGTTTGATCTTCTTAGACAGATATTTCTTGTTAAAGTTTTGACGAAGCAAGTGGAGTTATTTGCTTTTACTTTTTCTCCTTTCTTAATCACAAAGGGATTATAGCATTATTGTTATTATGTGAACTTAAATGAGCATAGAGTGACTCAAGGAAAATTAGCTGACATATTCATTTTTGAGAAAGCAAATGAAACTGAGGTTAAGATATGAGTTCTTTCTGTATGCTAATCACGATAATATTGGCATGGTTGACACAGAACTAAGATACAAATGACATCATACTGATGCATATTCGCAGAGTTCAGTGTTTTCAAAAGGTGTTTGGCCGTTGACCTAGAGGCTCAGGCAAGGTGAGGTGAGTCTTGAGCACCTTGCAAAACCTTGGGGCGAGGCATTGCAACGAAGCACTGCTCAGGTGCTCACCTGAGTCCAAGCGCCGAGCACTTGAGCTTATGGTTCGATTGAACGAGTAAGTTAGTTCAATCAAACCAACTAATGTACCCTTACACCTCCCCCAATCCCGTGCCCAACCCAGTGAAAGCAAAACCCTATGTCCGTTGCTACAGCTTCATCTACCGTTGTTCGCCACTGCAGCTTCGGCCATCGCCTTCTCCTTCCCCTACCTTCCTCCACAGCCGTCAGTTACTTCTCTTCTCAATTCATTCTCTCTCATTTCAATTAACTTGCTGCACCATATTGAGATGGTGCTTACTCACTTTGTTAGGAGTTAACCCTATTTAGTATCATATTGAAAATACTATTTAGCATAAGTCTCCGTCAGTAGAACCTTTGTTTAGCATATCAGTTTTATTTGATATGCCATTTTTATTTTTATGATCATATTTATCAATCATACTATATTTTTAATTTTAATATTCTAGAGTGCCTCGCTTAGTTCGCCTTGCACCTTGGTTGTTTTGTAACCTTGGCGCATAGCGCTTTTAAAAACAATAGCAGAGTTACACTACTGCCACAATTTTCACCAATACCATAAATTTTAGCCAGAATTGCAGAACTATGATTGATTGAGATAGACTCATCTAAATCTGCCAAACTAGTAGGTAAATCAGTATACAACATTCATTGACTCTCTAGCACCTTCTTGATTTATTGTTCTACATCATCTGTTAAATATTCTGCATCGGTTCCTGTATCTCTGTCCATAACAAGAATTATTGCAAGCCCATGAATATAGAAAGAGCTTGATTCTCAAACTCTTGGCATTTGAATGACTCTTCAATGACTAAGAAATGATTTAAAAGTTTGCAATTCTATTAAGGATGGTGGTGCTGGTAATGTGGAGCCTCACACTAGCAAACAACAAGAAGTTTCTATCCTCAAACAAATGCTTATTGCCAGTAATACAGTCTCAGCAGTAACACTTGTATTGTTGTTCCAAACAAATTCACTTCCGCTAGGTGTCTACGATAGCTAAGTATTGCTTCTTCAGCTGCTTATTGCTTTTGCACAACCAGGAAGTATCTCATGCATCCACATCTTGAAACTGTTTTGCACAGCCAGGTTTGAACATTGCATTGTCATCTTTTCAATTTCCACAATTTGCAGTATCCATAGGGTACACCAACTTAATATCTTCCTTCCAAATGTGAACTGGATTTTGTTCTGCTTTCACATAATGCCGGGATATATGAAAAGGCACACATAAACCAAGATAGTGACTCTGGTACTTATCACTCCCATGATATCTTTCATCATCAACTTCTCTGTGTTAAGAAAATCATCTAGATCAATCCATATATGCTCGGTACAATGGCTGGTGGTGCTGCAGATTGCCAATTCTGGCACAGGAACTTGGGCATCAAGTTATAGCTGTGCTTTTACTCATCCATGCATATTTGTGTGCATTGTCCATTAGTTGATCTGTTTAATTTAGTGGAATTCCCACCTTAGTTATGCTATCATTTGCTTATGGAATATTTTACTAGTTATCAGTTTCATCCTATACAGTACTGCCTACAATAACTGGCAAACAAGAGATGGATCTCAGTCACTAGTGCTTCAAAGCTATTAGCAAACATGCATTACTCTTACTGTGGAACGGGCCTTTCGGTAGGGACCATGATTGCTGGATGGGATGAAATGGTATACTCAAGTTCCAAATCAGTCCTTTTCTTCAGCTGTTTGACCTGGTCTCTTTCGTCTTGGGAACCTGGATTGTATTATGTTGACAGTGAAGGTGGAAGTCTCAAGGTAACACACTTTTCAGTCGGGTCAGGAAGTCCATGAGCTTATGGTGTTCTGGATAGCGGGTAGGCATTCGTTCTGTTGCTGTATTTTGTCATGGTAGTTTAAAAGCAATTAACTCATGTTCATTGTCACTTAGTTATCACTATGACACGACACTTGAGGAAGCTGCTGAACTGGCATGTCGAGCCATCTACCATGCAACATTTCATGATGGAGCTAGTGGTATGCTTATTTCTTTTTCTCAGTTATTGTACATTCTCTAGCTACTGCTAATGATAAACTTCCTTTCTTCACTCATGGTGGGTTCGTTTTCAACTAAATTTCTTTGATCGAATCTACCTACTAGTTTGAACTACTTTTTTATCATTATCACCCAAAAATGGTACAATTATGTCCAGAAAAACATGTCAGACCTGTTCTCCTAACTCCATTGATTAGAGAATTGCCTGTTGCCTTTGATGTTATAGACAATCAGATCAATTATATTTTTACTGAATCTAGATACTGTTGTTTGTGTTAGTAGAATAATATAAAGTAACTTATTTTATGAACATTTCGATTTAAGTTCTGCATTCATGACAATGAAAGCAATCATTCTATACTAGATGTCAGGACTGTGAAGCTTTTTCTTGCAGTTTTTCATGTCGGGCCTGATGGTCGGAAGAAGCTTTCTGGAGATGATGTTAGTGAGCTTCACTGCAAGTATTATCCTGTCGTCCCAACGTCTGTTGAGCAAGAAATGGCTGAAGCTCCAGCAGCCTGAGAGACCAGCCTTATTGATGTTTGTGTATCATCGAGATTATGATTGACCACTTCCGTCGGGGTATATTGCAGACGAGGCAACTTGATGTAAGCCACGTTCTGCTATCCGTATAACTTATTTGCATCGTAACGACAATTCTGTGCCCAAAATGAAGGGCCATCAGGTAGTGTTCGAAAGTCGCATCTGCCAATATTATCAATGTTGATGTGACCACCAATTACTATGTTTCCAATAGCAATATAATATACGTCATGTCCTTTATTCATCCCATCGATCTGTCGCTCATGCCCCACGTCCTTCTTCTACTCCAATTTACTCTCGTTCGTTGCTCCACCGGCAAAGGATGACATCCACCACAATGGATCGCTCATGATGTCCCGTGTAGAGTGTGTCCAGCTAACAAAACAACCTTGGCAGCCAACAAAGCACGAACATGTTCGTCCACGTCCAAACGCTTCTTCTCTAATCCCAAAAAGACGCATAAACGTAACACCCAAGATAAAGCAATCACACCGCACCCCCACTCCGCTCCTCTCCTCGCCGCCTCTCCTTTTAACAACAGTAACAAAAACAACCCCCACCAACGCTCAAGCACATCATTTCCAACCCCTTCCCCCCTTTGCGTTGCTTCTACTGCTCCCTTCCCACGCCTGCGCTTCCCATCGGGCCCCCGCGATTAAGTATCGCCCGCACCTCTCTCTCATTCCACAAATGCATACGCATTAACGCGCGCACTCCCTCCACCTCCCGCTCCTCACTCTTAAATACTCGACCACCTGAAACCAAACTGCTTCCACCGCCACTACTGCATGATGATGAGGAGGAAGTTGCATCTGTCGATCATCTTCTTCTTATGTATAGTTTACGCGATTGCCCTGGCGAGGAGATGCGGGGCGTTGTCGCCGGATGGGCTGTCGCTCCTCGCCTTCAAGGCGGCGGTGTCGGAGGACCCGTCGTCGTCGCTCGCTGGGTGGAGCGAAGGCGATGAGGACCCGTGCCGGTGGCCGGGCGTGTCGTGCGCCAACATTACCGGCTTCGCATACCCGCGCATGGTCGGCATCGCCGTCTCGGGCAAGAATCTGTCTGGTTACATCCCGTCGGAGCTGGGCACGCTGTTATTCCTCCGCCGGCTTAACCTCCATAGCAACCGCCTCTCCGGGCCCATCCCCGCACAGCTCTTCAACGCCTCCTCCCTCCACTCTCTCTTCCTCTACGACAACCTCCTCTCCGGCCCTTTCCCCGCCGCCGTATGCGACCTGCCCCGCCTTCAGAACCTCGACTTCTCCCGGAACGCCCTCTCCGGTCCCCTACCCCCGGCGATTCGCGGCTGCCGCCAGCTCCAGCGACTTCTCCTCGCCGGGAACAGTCTCTCTGGCGAGATCCCCGCCGGGATCTGGGCTGAGATGGTGGGGCTCGTCCAGCTCGACCTCTCCTCCAATGAGTTCGAGGGGCCCATCCCGCCGGACCTCGGCGAACTCGACTCCCTCGGCGGCACCCTAAATCTCTCCCACAACCGCTTCTCCGGCGCGATCCCCAGCACGCTCGGCAACCTGCCGTCGACGGTGAGCCTCGACCTGCGCTACAATAACCTCTCCGGGGAGATTCCCGGGGCAGGGTCGCTGGCGAACCAGGGCCCGACGGCCTTCCTTAACAACCCGGGGCTGTGCGGGTTCCCGCTACTGATCCCCTGCGAGGCGCGGACGGAGCCGGCGGCGGAGGCGCCGGGAGGGAGGCGGGGGGCCGCGGCGGCGGCGTCGGCTGGCGGGGCCGGGGCAGAGGCGGCGGCGGGCGAGGCGACCGGGGGGATGAGGGCGGGGCTGATAGTGCTGATCTCGGTAGCGGACGCGGCTGGTGTGGCGCTGATGGGGCTGGTCGTTGTGTGCGCGTACTGGAAAGTGAAGGATCAAGAGAAAGGGTGCGCGAAGCTGGGAGGCGAAGGGGGACGACCCGGCCGGCGGTGGGGTTGCACGTGGTGCGGGGCGGCGGGAGAGGACAAGGGGGAGCAAGGGTTGCCATCGTCGGAGGACGAGGAGGAGGGTGTCGCCGGGGGCGGCGGTGGTGCGGAGGGGGAACTGGTGGCGATGGACAAGGGGTTCAAGGTGGAGCTGGAGGAGCTGCTGCGCGCGTCAGCGTACGTGCTGGGGAAGGGCGGGAAGGGGATCGTGTACAAAGTGGTGGTTGGTGACGGCGCCGCGGTAGCGGTGAGGCGGCTGGGGGAAGGCGGCGGCGCCGGAGGTAGGTACAAGGAGTTCGCGGCAGAGGTGAGGGCGATGGGGCGGGTACGCCACCCCAACCTGGTCAGGCTCCGGGCCTACTACTGGGCGCCCGACGAGAAGCTTCTCATCACCGACTTCATCTCCAATGGCAATCTCACCGCTGCACTCCGAGGTCAGCTCTCTCTCTCTCTCTCTCTCCCATTCTTCTTCTTCGGCACATCATTAATCAACTAGTTAATTAATTAATATTAAACTAACAACTAAGACGTCAACATTATTCATTCCCATCTCATCCTCCGAATTAGAACCCAAACCCAACGATTTGACCAACATTAAGCTAAAAGCCGACACCAGGCACAGCAGTGTTCTGTTCGGGGAATCTTCCAAGTGAAGACCGGAGAGACTGCGTTCGTCCTCGTCTCCTGCCGCCTTTGTCGTCAGGGCGCAGGCGACTTCAGTTGGGTTGGGGTGCGGCGCGGTGGATCACCGCTCAATTAATTATTCCCGAGTACTATATGCCCCCCATTCATCAAATATACTATAAGCATTTTTACATATACAATCCTTCCCAAATTAATGATTTCCTTATTCACCGTTTTAAATTGAAGTTCCACATGTGCACATATATCCTGCAAAAAGCTAAAATCCATGGTATCAAATTAAAAGTAGTATATATAGAACACATCTGGTACTTAAATCTTAATTTTATTATATGTTGAAAAGAAAGATATGTAGAATCCAATATATTTTAAGTCATCTACAATCATGCACACGAGGAGCATTACCTCTTTCTTTTTGTTCTTAATTCGGGATTCAAATGTTGAAAATGAATGATCTAAACATTAGCCGAAGATAACTTTAAAAAATCAAATTGTTTACCTAATTCCCACCGAAGGTTTTTTTTTCTTCTTTTATATTTTTTATTATATTAAATTAAATTTATCAACTATACTTATAGTGTTTTATGCATCAGGATATTTCTACACAAATAATTAGGGCAAGGCAAAAGGTGTAGAAAAAGAGCCTTAAGTTGGGAAAAAAAAGATATACACAAATAATTGTACATCATTAATTGCTTTCTCATCAAGTATAATTATGGGTGACACTCATAATGGGAGAGACTAGCCAGAGGAAAGGGGAGTAGTACACAAGTTAATGTGCGACCTAAAAGGCGACGACTTCCGTGTCCTCGAGGCAATCTCCGTTTTACTGTGGTTAGTCAAACAGCTCTGTACCGTCAAATACACTCTCCACTCGCATCTTTTGCACCATTTGGACGCCCACTTTGATTGAGACATTAAAGTCTAAAGACGTTTAATCTCATTTTAAATAATATCATAAGTAATCCAAAAAAATTATTTTCCTGCTTATGTGAAGCTCGTGAAACCTTTTCTATATTGTAGATTAATTTGGGAAGTAATTCCACTTTTAATTTATAAATGTGAAAATTGTGGTAAATTAAGAAGACATTAATAATGTCGGTCAGGGCGGTCGGGGCATCCGAGCCTGTCGTGGCCGGTGCGAATGCGGATCGCGCGGGGAGCTGCCCGCGGCCTCGCCTACCTTCACGACTGCAGCCCCCGAAAGCTCGTCCACGGCGACCTCAAGCCCTCCAACATCCTCCTCGACGCCGACTTCAACCCCCGCATCTCCGACTTCGGCCTCCTCCGCCTCCTCTCCCTCGCCTCCTCTCCCTCCTCCTCCTCCGACGCCGCCGCCCCTTCCTCATCCACCACCGGTCTCCTCGGCGCCGCACTACCCCAATCCGCTAAGTCCACCCACCTCGACCTCCCCAGCCCCTACCGCGCTCCCGAGGCGCGCGCCGCCGCGGCCCTCCCCACGCAGAAGTCCGACGTGTACTCCTTCGGCGTCGTGCTGCTGGAGATGCTGACCGGGAAGCCACCGGAGATGTCGTCACCGTCGCCGTCGTCGTCGTCCGGGGAGCAGGTGCCCGGTCTCGTAAGGTGGGTGAGGAAGGGGTTCGAGGAGGCGAGACCGCTCTCCGATCTGGCGGACCCGGTGCTGCTCCGCGACGTGCACGCGAAGAAGGAGCTGGCGGCGGCGTTCCACGTCGCTCTCGCGTGCACCGACGTCGATCCGATGGCCAGGCCGAGGATGAAGATGGTATCGGAAAAGCTGGACAGGATCGTATCGTGAAGAGGGTGAGAGAGTGAGAGGAGAGAGACAACATTGGTACGGCCAAATCCCGCTCTGAGTCGGAATGCTTTTATGGGGAGCAAAGAACGTTGTAATGTAACGTTGTGCGATAATAATAGGATTACAAAGGGCAAGCTGAAGATATGAAGTGTTTGCTAAAAAGATAGATAGTTAAATATGCCTTCTTTCAAACATTGCGTCTTTAAGTTGGGAGTGAAACGATTATATACATGATTTTCTTGAAAAAAATCGTTTTTGGAATTTTCTCGGAAGATGCTTTTAGTTTTTAGTTTTTCCATTTGAGAATCTTTGCCACCTTTGTTCACTTTCATCTCATTATAGCCATCATAGCCACATATGCTCCACGATGATGGTGTGATCAAAATGATAAGGAACGTGATAATGGGGTGCGTAGGTAGTCATGATGGAACTAAAGCATAGATCCTTACGTAGGGAAAGGAGGTGACAAAGTAAAAAAAGATAGATGGAATTGGAATGACAAAGGCGATAGGATAGGATGTAGGTGACCACGACAAAACGGAGGCGACGAGGCCTCGCGAAGGAAAAGGAGGCAGCAGAAGGATAAAAATAATGAAACGAAGGTGGCTAGGATGAGTAGAAAGCGATGATCGACAATACCATCCAAATAAGAAGATTACAATGACTAGGGATATACAAGCCATGATTTCAAACATTAAGGTGTTTTAGAAAAATCGAAAGATTTCTAAACATTAAAGAGCTTTATTTTTTTATCAGAGCTATAGAAAAATCCCACTAACCATAACTATTTTAATATATTTCAAAACCAAGCATGAAATTTCTAATTTTTCTCACTTTATATCAAATTTAGATCAAAATATCATAGAAATCTTTATAATATCTGAATGATAATAAAAAATATGATATTATCCATTTGCAACGTTTTAAGTTCAGTATCAAAAGCATTATAACTCTATCTTACAATACTATAAATAGAAAACTTTACATGTCTATTTAAAAAAATTATAAATTCTATTACAACAAATAAATAGCGTACATGATTATCACAAATGCACATCAAACAAAATTTCTGTTACACCAACACGTCTCAACAGAGACACATTACATGATTATCCTTGTTTGTATCATACAAGGATAGTTTGTTATCTTTACATTGGAAACATAGAAACGATGGTTTAGGGAGCTAATTATATATTATCTCATGTAGTTAGCTATCTTTAGTATTCGGTGTATGTACTTTAAAAAGTTATACTGATGAAACATCTAGACCCATTTATCTTAACATCGTCGGTTTTATCAATAAAAATATAAAAATAAATATTAAAAAGATAATTTAAATATTTTTAATTGATGGTGGCGGATGACGTTAGTGGTGGTGAACAACGGTGCTGCTAGGAGCCACGAGTGGTTGTTGTGGATAAGAAGAGCGACGACGAGAAATGAGGATTGCTCTATATCTGTATCGATACTAACACAAATGCATAGTGATGAAAGAGTCGTTCGATAACTATACGTCGACATCAACGCAGATATAGAATGACCCTCACCTCTCGCCAGTGCTCTCTTCCTTCATAATAGTCACCCGCAACTCCTAACAACGTTATCATCTATCACCACTAATCGAAATATTAAATTATTTTTTATCATTTATTTTCTTATTTTTATTAATAAAACTAACGACATTAGAATAAATGGATTTAGATATTTCACTTTCATTACTATAAAGATATCAATGTAACTTTTTAAAATATAAAAACTAAGATACTAAAGGTCGTTAACTATGAAAAATAATATATAATTATCTCAATTTTAGAGTCTTTCATAGTACTAACTTCATGGTTGATTGTCCGACAAGATTATTCGAACCAAACAAGGTGCGACATATGTTATCTCTAGAGGTCGAAGATGATAGGTAGAAGTAAAATATGTCATAAGAATATAGATATTGCCTAATCTCCCAACATGTCACCCGAGACCTCGTAGAAGACCAATGTTGACGATAGTCCAACTCGGCCCCTCCGATGTCTAAATCAATTTCTAATCAATCATGTCAGTGATGTAGAAAAAAATAGGTGCCAAAGAGAGAGAAACAAAATGAGAAAACATGTTTATACCCTAACTCAACTCGCCACTATGTGGTTACATATCGTAACGAACATGCTAGAAATGACGACCTTCCACTGCTAAGTGAAGGTCTCGATATGTTGGTATCTGAGATGGTTCATTTTATCCTCGACCAACTGTCACCTAGGAAATCGCCCAATATACTACATGAACATCGAGTGATGCACATCTGCAACACCATAGCCAACAAATATGAAAGGACCAAAACCATTTGTTAAAACTGCATTTCGTCTACACACACAAATTTACAACTTCTAGGAAGAAATGAAAACATGTTCACTGGTCGAAACAAAATAACAAGATTCCGCAGCACCCAAATCAAAAGAAAGCAGGCCAAGGGCAGCCAACAAATGGATTAAGAACAACACCCTGACCATGAGATTAACATATTTAAATATGGCCACATCTACAAAATTGTAAACAAAACATCACTAACAAAACTAATTATTCAGTGGAGACAACTCAACTCGATGTCCAATCTGGCTGGCAAATCTCACCCATTTTTGAAGTTGTCGTGCCTAATCAGTATATCCATAGTCTTTTGATGTGTCATCCCTTGGCATATATCCATGATCAGTATCCCATAAACAGCATATCATAAAATAGCACCATGTGAATGCTTTACTCGCGCAGAATATGCACAATAGACCAACTGCTACCATATTAAGCATGTCATACAGCAGCACCAGGTGATTATTTTTCTTGCATTTTCTCATCTGCATAACCTGATGCTCTGCCGGACCTGCCTATCACATAGGATTGAGGAGCCAGGTTTTCATATTGCCTGTTGAGACCCTGGTAGGAACGAGCTGCAAAAAATTCCGACCCAGATCTAGCAGCTCCTTTGAACATAATAGTATTAGGATGCTGGCTTTGCAAATTTAGTGCCTTCTCAGTGGTCTCTGCCAATGCAAGGGACCTTTCCTCATGTTCACCATTTTCTGTTAAAATGATCAGTTCTCAATTATCAAATTAACTATGAAACATAAGTTCAGTAGCACTAGCGTTTGACCAAAAAGTATCAAAAAGATACCATAAAAAATTGCATCAATAGAAAATTGGCATGAATTACAGACCAAATGTGAATTCAATTTCCCAGTGGAAATGCTGAACAATCTCACTGCTTAAAAAGAGCCAATAAAACAAGAAATATTAAAAGATTGTCAGCATCAAAAGAAGCTATATAATTAGATGTCAGCTATAAGTCAATGTTTCAAGATGTACTGTGGCAGAAGGATTGGATACTTGCACAGAAGGATTGCATAGTTATCTCAAGAAATCTTCTAATCATCAATGATTAGCTCTCCCCTCTTCTGGCATTATTCTGATTATAAACTAACTGGAGGGCTATACTAAAGAAGGAATGTTACAGAAGTATGCTAAGAAATTACAGGAATGCTACAGAGCTGTACTATATCTAGGTCTCTTTAGCATGTCCATACCTCCTTAAGAAATTACACTTGAATGTAGATCGAAAATGCATCGTCCAGTTTCACATATACAGCCACATCGGAAAAGGTCATGCACATCAACTGAAAGGAAGAAATTGAATAACTGCTAGGACTTGCTGCTTACTGGTGAAGGCATGACCAACTAAGCTCCCTTATATATGGGACATCTCTCTCAGCTCTCAGCTCCCCTATCCTATTGGGCATCTCTTTCAGTTGTCACAGGATCATATGATTGAAAAACTTGATTTAGTATCAAACTCGTATCAATTTCCTAAGATTGATCCCAGCAATACCTGCAAAATTTACGTTCGGATGTGCCCACATGACATTAGAAGAAAGCTGGTCGCACTTAATGATGAGATCATCGACCATTTAGCTCATCAAAATTCCACTGCATGTGGAATCCTTTGCTTTCTAAGTACAATAAACTTCTTGATCTTGTTAATTTTGAGCAATATTTTCCTTCATCAGAGACAGCACTATACAATAATGATCCCACACATTTACATGAATAATCAGAGAATCAGAATTTAATATTCACCTAAGGCTATAAACCATGGGTTTCTAATAACTTTAAGATACAACTTCTGAAATGTTAGATGCCAACCTAGTAGCAATGGGACACTTCAATTTGCCAGATGCAGTGTGCCTAGCACTTAACAGAAAATTTATAACTTTTATCTCAATATATTGATGACATATTGTCTGCTAATAATGACAAGGAACTTGTCAAATGCAATCAAGGAATAATCATCCTTAATTTTAGAATGGATGCATGAGAAACTGCATATATTCTTGAAGTAAAAATCTATAGGGATCATTTTAGATAAATTTCCAATAGTTCCCATTAACTCTCCAATCTCGGAGGTATAGCATTTGGTTCCAGAAGATGATGCATCTCATGTCTCATGATTTTGCAAGTGGCCCATGGCAGCAAGTGATTCATTTTCACATACTAAATATCAAGTTCATTCACAAACTCCTAACAATGGTGTATTTATCCATCCAACCATCAATAGTAAAGATCAACCATAGTTTGATAAATCACAAGGCTGACTGTAGCCTGTTTGTTATCATAAATTACTAAATAAAACTCAGTGCACAAGGAGGAAATTTACTCTACAAGGAAACAGATGATGAACAAATAAAGAGAAAGTATCATGTTAAAACACATTGAAAATACCTTCAGGCTGAATATCTTCCATATAACCACCTTTGATAAAGGAAAACCGAGCTTCTTTGGTGCCACTGACAGCTTCTGGTCCACTAGAAACCATCAGATCGTGGAAATTTAAAACATATTCTCCTGTCCACTGTCTTCCCCTAAAAGTTGGAAAAAGTCATTCAGAAACCTTTTCTTCTGATCAGATGTCCAGGAAAAGAAGAATGGTACACCAATCTAACAAAATAATTCAGTGGCCAAATTGCATATTTGTGGAGCAAGGATGCAGGGATAGACAACCAACCATGAATACATGTTCACAGCTGTCAATGACACTGCCAGTGCATTCATACAAAAAATTAGGAACAGGGTTTGCATCACAGGCATCGGTCCGTAATGAAAAGTTAGAAAAGTTAAAAGTTCAGACATTAGAACACCCAGTATGATGACATAGTTGTTTGGTGAAAATATGCAAATCACTTTGAGGTCTAAGTTGGCTACCTAAACACCATGGTATCAAAATAAATTTGGGTAAAAAACCATGAAATTTTACTCTCTCAGAGAAAGAGTTAACCATATTTAATCATCTTAAAATATAAAATCAATTTAAAGATAATAACAAAAATGAATAAACACATTTCTTTATCAACAAAAGGTAGTGAGTGCATGGCAGTTTGTGACAGTGCATGTCAACTTACCTGCCAAAAGCTAATGCAGCTTCAAAAGGAGTGATGATTGGAGCTAAAAATTCTTTGCTGTCCAGCAATGCGGTTTGGGCACAAGAGACATAGACAAAAACATCACACTGGCCCAGGATACATGATCAGATAATTCAACCTAAACAATTTAACAGAAGAAACTTGCAGTTTGTGAGTAATTACTACCTCGGGAAAGTTTGCGAGTTTGGCAGAGTTTGGTCTTCCCATTACTAGTGTATAGGACTTCTTTCCGGCCCCCTTAATCAGTTCTTTCATTTGTTGGATGATACTAAGATAACCAGCTGTATGGAGCAGACAAAATTGACCATATGCTTTTAACAAGAATTAACTTGGCAAATTAGAAACCAGAAACAGAAAAAGACTGAATATAAAGCTTCAAGGATTTCAGAACTCAAAGCCAAAGAGAAACTGAAGTGTTTGCATTACTCTCCAGACCCGGTAATAGCATGGGTGTGTATCTGATGGTCTGACCAGCGGTCACGAAGCAAAACAAGCCCATTCAGGTCCAAGACCAATATAGGGATTACCATCCAATAACCCTGTAAATGGAGCTTACCAAGCAGAAGGAAAATAATTGGGTGCTTGCCTAGGTGCCCGAGCAGCCCGAGCAAAGCGAGGCCCAAGTGCCTAGTAATAGGTCCAAGCAGGCACCATCAACAGGGGACAACCTAGGTGTCGGCGGTTCAGGCACAATCCTGAACCAAATCCAGTTGACTAGAACCTGAAACAAACCAAATTCGCCATGATCCGCTGATTCTGGTTCAATGGAACCATGTCAGCATGAGCCCAATACCTTCCCCCCGCACCATATCAGCGTGAGCCCAATTCCTTCCCCCCTCCCCCACTCTCCTCGCGCACATGCACGAAAATCTATTTCTTTCCCTCAGAAAACCTAATCAGCGACAACGTCTTCTTTTCCAACAGCAAACAGCAGCAGCATCTTCCCCTCCAACGGCGAATGACATAGTCAACCTATAGTGAGAGGCTTCGATGCATTGAGTGGATCTCCGATGGGCTCTTCTTCTTGCAGTAACTCTCTCTCCTTCCCCTCCCCCTCATGTTGAGCCTCCCCGAACCCCAACAGCCTCCTACTCTCTCCTCCTACCCTTCTGCGTTGAGCATCCCCAGACCCCGATATAGCCCTCTTCTCCCTCATCCTACTCTTCCGCATCAAGCCTCCTTGAACCCCGACAGCCCCCTCTCCTTCCTCCCCTACCTCCTCCCCAATAACTCCCTTCTCTCCTCCCTCCTTCCTCCTCCCATCCTAGCTGATAGTTGACCCACCCTCCTCCGATAGCTCCCACTCCCGTCAATGATAGCTCCCTACTCCCCTCCAATTGATACCCCCATCTCAATCCTCCTCAATAGCTCCCTGCTCCCCTACCAATTGGCAGCAACTCCCAATAGCTCCTCAGGGATACAAATCAACTGAACAGCAAGATGATGACAAGATTGAGATTGTTGAGGATAATGAATGATCATTGATATTAATCTTGTTTTATTTTATCATTTTTATTATTATATTTGGACAATGTAATACTATGGTACTTTGAATTAATGTAATTTGATGTTTTATTTTAAATTTACTGATCATATTTCTCAATAATTACATATTTCTTTAAAATATTTCAATAGTAGCAAGTGCATGGCATCATTTAGACTTCGGGCAAGCACCTAGCACCTCAGGCATTTTGACACCTTATTGCCTTTTAACACCTAGCACCTTCGACTATACTGCCAGGTGATAAGCCCACCCGACTAGTCATACCTCAAGCGAAAGAGACCAATTGAGGTCTCTTTGGCTGGTTCATATCAAACGAGTCCTCTCTCTTTCTCCTCTACTCTCCTTCTCATGCGCCCTCTCTCTCACTGACATTCCCTTTTAATCTCCCTCAAAACTCTCTTAAATCACTCCAGAACATCTAAAATAGAACTACTTGCTCAAGAAGAAGATATTTTATTTTAATTCTCTTCAAATCCAGGTAAGTTTGAACCTAATCTCTAATCTAATTTCATGTAATTAGGTTAGGGTTTATGGTTTCTCTTATCACCCTAGCCTAGCTCTCTTCTACTAACTTGATTTACAAAAATCAAGCCTTGATTAATGTAAATTCACAAAGTAGTCATTGCAAATTATTTTTAGTTCAGCACATGACTAATAAGGTGCAACGTAAAGGACTAATTTATGCCAGAGATAGTGTAGAGATGCTGAACTTTAAATAAAATGCCAAAATGGTACATATATAAAATAAAAATCTGCTATGAACATACCACAACCTAAAGTGCCAACCAATATGCCAACAATGTTTGCATCCTTTGCTTTCTCCACAAGGTAATATCTACATGAATTTATGCATACATGGGCAGTTAATCCAGGTCAGTTGTCCATGAGACACGTGATGTATTAAAAACATATGTCCGATGCACATTTAGTACCTACGCTTGAGAATTCTTCTCTGACAAGAGGTGTCCTCCAGCAAGCGTCTTTCATCAGCATCATACCTGACTGAATAAAATAAAAAACTCAGAACAGAAACAAATGTGCATTATTTAAAACTTCAATTTGCATTTCCAAATATCCTCAAGAAAAATGATATCATTACGTGATTTTCAATGTTATCAGCATCTTTATCATGCTAAAAAAAGTTAAATCATAACAAGAATAAGAGACTATTTAATGCATGCATTCACAACATGTCTAAAAGTTTGCTTGCTCTTCCATGTTAAATTCTCAAATTCAAGTAGTGAGATAACTTTTGTTCCACCTTGACATTCTGAAGTCAGTCACACATATTTGTATCCTTGCAATAAGGTGATTACAGTGGTCCACTAGCATCATTTTACCACAGCATTGCAGTTCACTGATATGATAAATCACAGTGCATCAGTTAAAAGAGTTTACTTATCAAACTTGCAAAATAGCATCACTACTAGCTAAGTGGTCATGAAGAGTAAATTTTTGACACAACTATCAAATTGAGATTGCTATCGGCACTTGCAATGAACAAAGATATACAGCAGAAGGATGGATTTATCTATACTAGACAAGAAGTCATGCATGAAAATGGTCCAACTCCTTAAGTAAACTTCTGACACATCTCTACTGAAATCAAGACTACCAGTGGCACTTGCAACAAAGATAAATAGCGAGGATGGATAAGCTACCAAAGATACATAACAGAAGGATAACAATTAGCTTTCCTTTTTGTTATGTATACAAGCTTAATTGCCTTCACTTGAGGTTCTTAATGTAAAGAGTCCTAGACAAAACTTACAACAAATTTAATTGCACAAATAAAATATTCAATTAGTCCTGTTTTCGGTGAAGGCCAAACTCATGTAGCATAAGCTGTCCCTAATCTGTTAAATCAATTTTGTTTTTGTCAGTAGTGTAAAAGGCACCCCACAGAGTTGGGACATTATGGATTCAACCAAGTTATGTACCTGGTTATGGACAGAAGTCAAGAAAGGCATGCTTAAGGAGCAACATCAAAGCATGATGGCGAAAACCAAATTTTGGACGGAAATTGCCGAATAATTGAGAATAGGAGTAACAATGAATGGTAAGATCAAGTGAATTTGATCCACTGAATTAACATTTTAACAAACAAAATAAAAGTAAGGGAGAAGCGCTATCACGTCATTGCTTAAGTTGTACACTGCTTACTAATATCACGAGTCTTGCAGACATACTGTATCTATCTACAGTTTCATCGTATCGTGGATCCTGATCAACCTGCCATGGACTCACATCAATCATTTTGGTAGGAGCAGGTACATCTTTTAGTTTTACATTAAATTTATTATGCATGTATATTAATTAAAATTCTTTCCCATATACATGTATTTTTTAGATATTGTTTTTTATCCTTATCCGATATATGTTTTAATTTGGTATTTTATTGTTTTCAAGATTGAAATCACTTTATTGTTATCAATTCTGAATGTATTTGCCGAGCTTAGGTGAGAAAGAAACCTAAGATTAGGTTTTTTAAGTTTTTTTGCAGATTTTCTTGCCTTTTTCATACACCACAGTACATCTCCACATATCATGTGTCTATGCCAGTACAAACAGGACCATACTGATCCAGGCCCAACCTTGTATGTGTTTGGTACCCTAAATTCAGTTCCTTGCAAAGAAACATTTATGCTAAATTACCACCAAGAATTTAAACTAAATTAGTCATTGTCTTGGCCTGTATTCTAATCTACCTGAAAATAAAAAATAAGACATCCTGACTTCAACTTATATCCAAGTTCAATTTTTCTGAAGTAGCTCAGATCTATTGTAAATATTCTAGCTTGGTGATTTTTAAAAGTGCAGCTCAGTTCTGATTTGAAACAATCCACGAGCTGCTTCATGTTTTTCTTTATATAAAGATATAGATTTACTAAGTTGTCCTTTTCCTATTTGTTGTGGTCGGGAGTTTGAGGGAGAGGTTGGGAAGACCATTGCTGGGGTTTGGAAGAAGCCAGGGTATCACCCCTGCTTATGCATCTTTTGAAGAAAAATTAGGGAATTCACAATAAATTGAACCAGCCCTCCCTCGTCCTGAAGCAATGAGTCCTAGTCCTGATTTAGATATCACCACTAACAATGATGATATGTGAATAATAAATTAGATGCCACCTCTTCCCTTCCTCATCCAAAAAGATAATAAAATAAAATATACGAAGAAGACATATGCATAAGTCAAATGTCAATGTCAATTAGAGTTAACTGATACAGCTTGATCATGGCAAAATCAGCTGTAAGCAGTTGATCTGAATTGTTTTTCTCACATATTAATCAGTACATCCAATATCTACCACCAACCCTGCCATCATCAACACCATTCATTACTCTGTTAAGCCATCAGTCCCTTTCTATTTTTCTTCTTTTGTTCTCTTCTTGCTCTACTGCTACAGCAATTGACATGCTTTCATCCAGTTTTACATCAAGTGCAGCCCATGTTGCACCTCACACCAAGGCTCCAACAAATATTAGCAATTCAGTGTCCCTTCAGCTTTTTGGTACTGCCATTTCTGCTGGTCATCATCATATGGTATATCAAGTATTAAATATTAATGAGATCAGAACTCCAAAGTAACCCAAAGAGCAAGAATATATCATCTTGGCAACTAATATTTCCTTGAATGAAAGAGGGATATCTTGGCTATGGTAAAATTTTCACATTCACAATATTAAGCCTTTGAAGCATTATTTAGCCATCTGTTAATAACTATTGACAAGAAATGCAGCAAGCTCTTACAGCTCTTGTCCTAATGAGTAAATAGATAAAAGAACGACTTCCATTAAGTATGAAACACCGACAATTTAATTCAATGGCAAATTTGATAGAAATTCTTTTACACTAAAACTTCAAGTGCTTGTAGGTAATTGACATGCAAATAATCCAATAAATGCACAAGACATAACCTCCATCTAAAAGTAACAATAATGTTACAGAAAAGTCAGTACTCGAACAGGGAAAAGAGTATTTTCAAATAACAACCATATACTTTAAATAGCAACCAAATTGAGTATGAGTCTCAATCAACAGAATTATAATTGCAAATAAAATGAAATGGCACTAACTACTAAAAGGTCAATTATTGGCAACAATTGAAGTATCCAAACATCCTAAATTCAAGTTAAAATTCCTAGAATTTTAGCTTTAAACAGAAAAAGATCCATAATCTGACAATTAGTTAAAAGAAATATATCAAACATTTACAGAATTTTACTTACTTATTTCACAGTTATTGAATGTAAGCACAACATTGGTAAATGCAGAATTCTCGGGTCCAATCCAGAATAATAAGTAGTCCTCTATCTTGTGATCTGATGGGATACTCCATGTCAGTCCTCCAAGTTCGAAGCAGGTACCATTTTCCATTCTTCGGCCATTACCAAACTTAAGGATCTTTTTCTCATCTCTGCCACTAGTGAATCCAGCATTAGTAATGGAACCATTTAGTGACCTAATTTGATCTTTCTCTGTTGTACAGTCCTGTGATGGGTTTATCACTGAACCAATGACATCTGAATATTTCACCATAGGGCCCCAGTTGGAGTGACTCAATACCAACGATTCAGCTACCACTGCTTTGAGATGCATCAATGCATGTGAATACTCCAGTCCATACAAGACCTACATATTAAATGCGGTGAATAAATAATTTAATAACAAACATTAAAAGAGAAACAATATGCCATGTGAATACATTACATTCTACTTTTTAATTTTGTACACTGCAAGGTGATTTATTATGACGAGCATCTTATGACTAACTGATCATATAACTAAAGCCATAGAACCCTTTTTTATCATACTTATATGTCAACATGAAATCACATGTACTCTATTGATTACATTATTTATAATGATGACAAGTCAGTTGCAAATGAGGATGGCCACATCATCTGTACAACATATTGGTATTTTAAAGCTAATCATTAGCAGATAAATTGTTTGGTAAAGATTTACAAATTGTAGGCCAGATTAGTCCCCATAAGGAGAGATGTCCAATGATTCCATGAAAGCCCAAGTAATCCATGAAGGGCCAATGACACAAAAAGTAAAGGAACTTAAACAAGTAAAAAATTGTGTTGAAAGATGAATAGAGCATGAAATTAAAAGGCAACAAACAGATGGTTGATGTGGACAAAATTTTTATTTCAAAAACAAAATATCATGGTTATGAAACATTTAGGAAATCATGCTCAGATTTATAAAAAGAAGTAGAATAGTAGAAACTAGGAAGTGAACAGCGTTACATAAGTCCCAAAGATGTACCTCCCATATATTCTTGCAAAAATAAATGACATCACAAAAAGGGACTGAAACTTCAAATATAATGTATATCCCTTCTATAGCTAATATTATGGTACATACCACGATTGTCACATGCTTCTTTTCTAAATCTCAATCTTTAAGGGGTAAATACATAGTTATATACTCTCAGGGCGAGGACAAGGGAATTTTTAAACGGCATACTTACATCATAACACAAGGCAAAACCAAAGGCAAGGAGGATTCATGACAACTGCAATACAAATAGTTATCACTTGTTTAGTTCGTGAAATTAAAGGATTCTTATATAATGGATTTTCAATCTAAGCTATAGAAACATGTTTATAATAACTTCCTTTACCTAGTTCACACCCCTAAAAAAACCAAAAAAGAAAAAAGAAAAGAAATAATTGGTGACTCCAGCATGCCTATCAACAAGTAGTGTGATCAAAATGGGACATGCAATGTGTCAGCCAGCACAGTGTGCTGATGACAATGAGATCCTTATAAGATCTTACGATTTAGTTCAAGGTCTAATCCTTGATGGCGACAAAGCATTTGATTAACAAAAACATGTAGGCAAATCATAAATCTACCAAAACACATTTTAATGTCTACATGATTGAGATTTGGAATCAGTGGCACTTCCATTAAAATCTGAATGTAGAGGACAAGGAACTCCCTGCATCACTATGTCTCTACAAGCATCCATTGAATTTATAACGAATATTTTAAGAAGCTTGAATAGGTTGCCATGCTATTCTGCCTCACATGTTTTAGCACTTCCATTTTCTCTTATTTAAGCAGCAGAAAAATCTTTCTTTAACCAATAGCCTTTTGCACATAACAGACAGATAGAATTTAATACAAAAAAAACCTAGGTACTTATAATATATATGCATGTATAAGTGGGACATACCAGAATAGGTTTGTTGGTAGATGATAAGCAGTGACCTATTAGATCAGCGCAATCTTTTATGTCGATAGAGGCCTTCCCGAACACAAACATAGCAGGCAAAGTCGACGTTCTGAAAGTAAGAAATCAGGAATTACAGATAAAAAGGAACAATGATTTCAAAGCAGAAGCAATTTGTTTAAAAATCTATAAAATGGAAGACATTCAAAACCACCCAAGTAGGGAAAAAATGAGTCCTTTTACAAAATTAAGAAAACTGAGGAAAATTGAGACAATAGTACAGTAAAACTTTGATAAAATTTACAACTGGCAGATCAAAACCTGAACAGGTTACTGCATCACCAAAAATTTCTCGATTCAAGTGCAAAATTCCACCAAGAAAGAACATTAAAACCAATAATAACAGCACAAGGTTGGATGAGGTATCAATTTCAAGAGATATCATACACTGAACTGGTAAAGACCAATCAAAAAGGGACCTATAGATCCTACTCAAATCTGAAAAATAGCTCTAAATTCAAGACCATGATGTGCAACCCATAAAGAAGCAAGGTAGTGGAGCTGAAAACAGTCCAGAACGATGAAGTTATGATCTTTATGCTAAAATTAAAGCCTTAGAAGCTTAACCAAAACCGTCAGTTGCCAAAACTAACTGGCAGCGACCAGAAAATTTTCCCTAAACTGCAACATCGAGAATTATGCAAAGAAAAGTAGAATCATCGTCTGGACGATGGAGAAACCTAAGGCACAGGATGACGAACCGACATCTTTGATCACCGTCAAAGTGAGCCTTTTCATCAAAAGTACATACTTTTCCAAGTCCCCAGTCCCTAAAACCCAGAAACCTAAGTTAACATATCAAAGATAACTTACGGGCTCATGCAAGCGTGCCCATAGTGCACCACACACTCGGCATCCACATGCGAGGCCCCAATCTCATCCACGCAGCAGCTTCCATACGCCGCGTCCGCCATGACGAACAGCCGGACCCCCGCCCCGAGCTCGCTCCTCAGGGCCTTAGCCACCCGCGGCGAGTCCTTCAGCAGCTCGTCAGGAAACTGACGACAAAGATAACACTTCATAGATCACGCGGTAGAGCAAGAAAAACCCTAGAATCGGAGGTTTCAGAAAGCCGAAGCTATTGGACCGAAACAAAGGACGGGACAAGGACCTGCAACGCGACTCTGGTGAAGTTTCCGGCGCGAAGGTAATCGACGGTGCGAGAAATTTCGTAGTTCAATTCGAAATCCATGGCGAAGAAGAAGAGGAATCGGAAGCACAGCAGCGGAGGAGGCGGTGAAAGAAATCGCGGCGATGGGGTGTATGGGAAAGCCACGTTTGGAGGGAGGAGCGATGGATTTGGGCCTCTTGTAAGCCCAATTAAATCTCTTCATGTGAGTTCGATTTTTCTAGAAAATATATTTTCTTTTGGATCTTTTATTTTTTTAAATAGGATCCTCTAATTTTTGAAATACTTAAATTACCTCTTAAAATTTTTCGCATCTTTATAATATTTTGACTATCATAATAAAAATACTATAAAGTCTATTTGAAAATATTAAAAATGATTTAAATAGATCTATAACCTCAATTAAACTAATTATAAATCTAAAGATATGATATTATAATAATTTATTAGTAATAATAACCAAAGAGATATGATATGAAATCATTTATAGTTTATAGAGCAATCCAATGGTTTCTTCCTGTCCAAGTAGAAGTCTTGTTGTCAACTTATTATTATCCTTCAGTAGTGATATGCCATAAAGAGCAGAGTAGATGTGCAATCGAAGACTGAAAAGGCCATCTCATAGCTAAACAAAAGGATTAACATTAATGAACTGATCAAAAGAAAAGCTCAATGAAGTGACATAATCTGTGGATCAAGCAAACCATGCTTTAATTATGTAGGTTGTGTTATCGTCTTATGATGGATTCCTCCCTCAGCGGTATCTACAACCATGTTGTCTCCTCCACTGCAGCGATGCATGGCTAGCTAGGTCAAGGCCGCAAACCCTCCGCCCTTCATCATCTGCTTGAACTCCTTGAAGTTGACCTTGCCGTCGCCGTCGACGTCAACCTTGCTTATCATCCGCCGGCAGTCCTCCACGGTGCGGCCTTGCTTGAGGCCGAGTGAGCCGAGCACCGTCCGAAGCTCCTCCACGGTGATGAAGCCGTCACCGTTCTGGTCGAACACGTTGAAGGCCTCCAGCATGTCCTCATCCTCGTCCCGCTCGTCCATGATGGCCTGGTAGAGCGTGCCGAACTCCTCCATGTCCACGCACCCGTCCCCGTTCACGTCGATCTTCTCGATCATGGACGCCAGCTCCTCCTCGGGGATGTGGATCCCCAGGTTCTTGAGCGAGTCCTGCAGCTCCGTCTTGGTGATGCTGCCGTCGCCGTTGCGGTCGAACATCTGGAACACCCGCTTCAGCTCCGACGGGTCCATCCAGGCGCCGCCGCCGACGACGCCGGCAGCCCCAAAGGTTCTCCCTTGCGGCTAGGAGAGGAGGAGGAGGAGGAGTCGGAAGCTTGGCGAGAGATGAAGGCAAGAGGAGGGAGGTGAGCTTGCTGGGGTCAGGAAATAGAGACGTAGGATGCTATGGAGGTGGTGGCCAACGAGGGCTCTTCTTACGATAACAGCTGGCCAGAGTTTTTTCCATTGCCCAACTTATTCGAGTGGTGCGGAGGAAACGAAGGTGGCGACGGTTGAGGATGGGCGGAAGAAGCCAGCCGTGGCTAATTTAAACGCTTCTCTCTCTCTCTCTCTCTCTCTCTCTCTCTCTCTCTCATAATGGCTTTGTTTATTCGGTCAACAGGGATGAGGGAGGGAGTTGGCGGGGGATAATAGGAGGGTGGAGAGTTGAACGGGAATGAGCTGTGAAAGTGGGTGGTTGCCAAGCAACGAGGCTGTGCTGCTATTGATAGGAAATTTGTTGTTCTTTTTCTGCTAAAAGAACAACATTCTCTTCATCTTCTTCGTCGTCGTCATCCTTCCTCTATATCGCCATCACGTTTACGTCTCCCTCTCCTTCGTCGTTCATTCGCCTCCCCACCTTCTTTCTTTGTTTCCCCCCCCTCTCCTCCCCGTGGCATCGCCATCGCCATTGCCGACCATCATTCTAACGTCTTCGAGTTCATCTCTATTGTCATTATTAGTATTATCGCCCACCATCAGCATTCTCCAACAAGCTTTGCCTCCTGACCGCGTAATCTCATTCGGAGGTGGAGACGATCCATCGAAACTTCACCCCAGCCTTGGCTGCCACTATCATGTCCATCGTCATGGGAGTTCCGAACAGTCCTAACCACACTCAATGTTCTATTCCACGAGTCAAAGAAAATAAAAGAATTATTAGTCACTTATGAAATGAGTGACTAATTATCAAAGAAAAACCATGATTTTGTATAACTTGAACTCTAATTGGGTAGAAATTAGTGAAATATATAATTTTAAGTCATTCAAAAGTCCAAAAATGCTACAAGTGTATAATATGCATTTACAGATTGTATGCTTCTTAAAATTTAATGTAATTTTAAATGGAATTACATTAAATTTTTAATAAATGATAAAAAAAAACAATGTAATACTATTCAAATAGTTTTTTCCATTAAATTCATTTTATAATTTCATAAAGGCATATGATATTGTATTATAGGCGTTTGATCCATGAGAAAAGTGACTAATTATTAAAAAAACTCTAATTCTTAATTAAGCTAAAATTATTGAAAATGTCTTTTAGTTTCGAAAATAATTTCCTAAATTTTCAAATTTTTATTTAAAACTCATTTTTTTAAGAATTTCACATAAATCTGGATATTTTAGACTTCATGATCTGAGTAAAATTGATTTCGAACGAGATTATCCAGATATTTTCAATGAGGGATAAAATCAATGTAACTAATGCTCAAAAATTCCTTTTCCATTGAGATTCATTTCAAAACTTCACAATAAACATATGAAATTATAAAATAGTAAAATGAGTGCTCAAAGCATGAAATTAATAGAAAAATAACAAAGATAATCCAAGCCAACTATTTCTAAAAAATCTTACAGCATACCATTCGATAAATCAAACGTAGCAATTTGATTCGCCAAGAAATCCAAGTTTATTCTACAAAGTCGTTTGGAACAATGTAATATCATGAACATACAACAATATCAATTGGGGGCCATTATATATAGGAGAACACAGAATCTATAAATTTTACAAGAATGAGGAGGCATCATGCCTTTTCTGAAATTGCGATTTCAATTCCCAATGAAATCAAATCTTGTTTAAGAGCATCTGCATTCCTGAAATGTAAACCAATCATACCTGCATCCTTGGCTGCCTCAACATTTGTCATCCTGAAAAATGAGAGATCTCTAGTGTGTTAGAACAGTAGGGAATCACATCTTGTGTTCTTTATTTTGTTTATTATTTCATTGGATCACAGTTTAGTGGATTATTGTTCATGTAGATTGAATCAAGAAAAAAAATATTCAGGCAGTTGTTCCAGTGAATGGCATTATACTGTTGCTGAACATGAAGTTCGGCTTCCTCATAGAGAATGAATTTGCTCTCGCCGACAGATAGGAGTAGCAATAAGTCCGAATCCACCGAGTTCAGGTTGGTGGAATCTGAGTCAGAATGTTGAAATGAAATTGCTTTATTTTATACAAATGCATGTTCAACCAGTAGCCAATCTAGTGAAATGATTAAGTGAAGCACTTATATAGACAAGTTACAGAACAAAAACAGGTACACTACAGAAAAGAAGTTCAGAATATGAGTTTCTGGTTCCTGTTCTTTTTTGCCAGCTCAATTACCAAATACCTGCAGTATGTATGGGACAACAATGTTGATTTTGGGTCCATTTAGGAGTCACGCAACAATCATTTTACAATCAGGTTGGCATTGGGAAACTGTAACCAAGATGTGAAAGTCCAACATGAGCAAAATCCATTTGTACGCAATTTTAGACAGAAACGGGGTGATTCTGGAGTATGATCCACTAGCATAAAATTTAGAATTGGGAGACAATGTCAGAAGAAAGAACCTGTCATCAACGAAGATACAGCTTGATGCCTCAACTCCAAGATGATGCAGGACTTCCGTGTAACAATCTGGAGCTGGCTTACGTTTTCCTATGCAAGAGAATTCTGCAGTTAGTTTCTTAAAAGAATAAAAGAGAGAAAATGGTAGTTTGAGACATATCAGAATCCATTTTTGCATGTAAATGTCAGGTAGTACAGTAGCATTTCCCCAGTCTAATTAGAATAGGAAAGGACCATGAAAGTGAAATGTTTTAAACGAAACAATTCTATTTCCTTCAGGCTTATCGGATGGGCAAGTTGCATTCTTCAGGTAAATGCTCTAGCATTCTTGGTGGTACCTCCAAATGTGTCACAAAAAAAATAAGCAAGCAGAATGATATTTTAACTCTGAATACAACAACCAACATACCCAGGTTCTTTTTTAAATTAAGTGCAAGCAAAATTATTTTCTTTAGAATTTCACATAAAGGACAGGATGTCTTTTACAGTTGTTTTTGGATGTTAATGATCTACTGTTGGATAAAGAAAAGAAAAGAAGAGAAATCTGATTACTTAAGTTAACATTTTAAATAGTAAAACCACAAAATCTTAAGTCAGGAAAAAAAATGGACAGCTTAACAGTATCATGCAGAAATATTACCAATTAGACAAGAACAAAATGTCCAAGACAAATACTTTGACAGTCTTAACTTCTCCTCGATCATCATGTACCTATATAAAGCTCGGAAATAAGTAAACTTAAAACTGATTAAATAATTATAAAGAAATTTAATAAAACTAACCAGATTGGATAGTTGGTGAAAGCATGTACTTCATAATTTTTTTGTTTTAAACTCTGGAGCAATGTTTCAATCCCATCGACATATGAGTATCCTCTTATCATGCATCTTTTGAGACCTAAAAAAGATTGGCCAAGTCATTGACCAGGCTAAACAATGGAAATGAAATTAAAGCATGGATGAAATTTAAAAAGCATATGTAAATTATAGACCCATGTAAGTTAACATCCTACAAGTATTGAGAGTTAGCCAACATATATAAATTATAATCCTTCTATTACAATAAATAAGAAAGCTAATTATTCTCATTCTTGTCAGTCTAAACCAACTGTTGCACATCAATGTAACAAGATAGAGGTCCCACTGGTTCTTGAATGATTTTATCCAATCTAACTAAGTTCTTAGACCTCTTCATCTAGATATGTGCCATATATATTTATTGGCATGGGGGTTGAATGCCAAGATCTATCTTCCAAATGGATGACAACATGCTTTGCTAGCAAGAACATTGGGATATATGGGTTAGATTCCTATGGAACTTGAACCACCCTGGAATAGTTTTTCCCAGGGTCTGCCGTACCGATCTGACAGGTTGTCAATACGCGGACCGACTATTACCGGTCCGAGTGCACTATATCACTGTAGCAGTGTACTGCCTGGGTAGCACTGTAGCACTGTAGCAGTGCTACAGTACTCGGTACACCTGGGTGTACCGCTCGATATACCGTACCGTACCGGTACCGAGCCCAGGTCGAAATACCAGTATGGTACGGTATTGCGAATCTTGGTTTTTCCAATGTCCTTTTTCTTCTCCTTTATGCAGGCATCATCAATCTGTGTTTGTTTTGTTATCTATGATGGATAAGCTCTGGGATCTAAATCAATGACTGCTGCATATTCATACTGCAAGTTGATGGACCTTATCCCTTATGCATGTGTTAATGATCTAAGGAAGCACACTTGTTGGCGGCAAGATCCAAGTCAACATCAACGTCATAACCTACTCATCACAGATCTGTAGCTTGCAGTCATAGTGCTTTCCAAGCATCAAGTTAGTCTCTGCCGACATGGGAATGGGATCCACCTTGCACTTCCCTATGCATAGCCACCACGATCCAACCAAACTAGGAAATTGACAAGGCAACTAAATGGAGGGAGGAAACTGTAGTGTAGCTACACTTTGCAACAACATTTATTCTAGCTTTGTCCCAGTAGATATCTTAATTTAAATTGATGCAGAAAGGGAAAAGTAAACGGCTAGTTATAGCTAACAAAGAAATTTAATCTTACAGCAAGAAGTAACTAATATGGCTACCAGTTTCCCAGTTGGCACCAGGTGTCATGGAGCATTAGCAAAGAGTCACGTTCTCAATCATAGCTTATTTCAACATCTTCCTAGAAGTTAACATAACACTAACTTTGAGCACTGCCATCCTTCTTTGGGCACAGCCATCCTGATATATCTTGCAGATACAGATCTTTTGGACCAACCAGAGATCAAATGCTTAAAGCTTAAGACATAGATTTATGTTCTAATTTTTCATGAAGTGAAAGAGTGTTGTCACATTGACACAGGCACTGAAAGATATCTCGAATTTTCAAGTTCCAAAAGAGTACAGATAAATGGAAAGAAAATTCTACATTAATAATCAAGACCGAGCAAAGATCCTAGAAGACCACAATCAATCAACGACAGTGAAAGAGAATTGTGCAGAACAAATATTTTAAAAGATTTTTTATATCTCTTAATTACAGAGCATATCAAGGTGGATGTCTATGTTCTGTTGGTTTTAATGTCAAAAGTCGAAGGTGAGAATCATTAGCTACTTAAAAGGATTGTTACAACTTATTGCTCCAAATTTGGTGTTTTATTTTAATAAAATTCAACCTTGTCATTCAAGAATTAGCATTTTCTATATCTCTTTGTTGTATTTAGATAGATTTATAGACT